TTAAAAAGCAGGATGTATGTAATAGATATTTGGGTATTATATGTAATCATCTATTTCTGCACAACTTTGCATATGGAAATATTCTTTATAGATGTTCCTTAAGTTTGGAATAACAGTAAATTCAAATATTTTAATAAATTGTATGGTTTCGTATTCAATCTTCTTTTCTGTACTTTGCATAGGGAAATTTTCATGTTTGTCAAATTCATAATAAAAAAAATTAAAATTCTGAAAAAAGAGGGAGTAGATAGAGCTTTGGGTCACCCACAGTTAGGGGCAGGATATGGATGACAATACAGATAAGGCAGAGAACCAAGAGATATCAGCATCACAAAAATCCAAAGGAGAGAAGTATCTAGGAGGAAAAGGTAATTAACGGTTGCCAAATTCTGTGCAAGGAGGTCAAGAAGATGAGAAATGAGAAAAGGTCATAGGATTTGACATCTGAGAGACTACAGGTAATTCTGGAAAGAGTGGCTTCAATGGAATGATGAGGTTTAAAGCCAGATTGCAGAGGGTTTAGAAGACAGTGAAAGGAAAGTAATTAGAGGCACCTGGTGTAGACAACTTACTCAAGGAGGTTAGCTGTGAAAGGAAGGAGAGATATAAGATAGTGGCTTCAAGGGATTGTAGTGTCAAATGAAGACTTTTTAAGGCTGGGAAAGACTTGGGCATTTGTAGGCACCAGGGAATGAGGAGAGAATGGAGAGAGAATGAAGACTAGAGAGCTGTAATGAGTTTGAGGTCAATCCACTGAAGATGGGGTAGAATGCTAGTGGGGATTGGCTTTGGTCAAAGGAGCCACCACTTCATCAGAGACTAGAGACAAAGAGAAAATGGGAGATGATGTAAAGGGTTTTTAAGATGTAGATTAGGGAAGAAAAGGGAGTGCAGGGTAAATGATTTTTTTTTAGAAAAAAATGAGGGAAGATCTGCTGCTAAGACAGTGAGAAAACAGGAGGTATGGGAGGCTTGCAGAGAGAAGAGAAGATTTGGAATAATAATCATAGCTAGTATTTATATAGCACTTTATGGCTTACAAAGCACTTTACAAACATTATTCAATTTTGTCCTCATAATAATCCTCAGAGATGTGACTATTGTCGTCCCCATTTTACAGATGAAACTAAGGCACAGGGAGGTTAGTGGCTTGTCTGTGGCTATACAGCTAGTAAGTGGCTGAGGTTGGATTTAAACTCAGGTTTTCCTCACTCTTATTCCAGCACTATTAATAATAATAGCATCTAGCATTTATATGTCACTTTAAGGTTTGCAAAGAGTTTTACAAATATCTCATTTTATCCTTAATAACCCTGAGAAGTGGGTGCTACTATAATTCACATTTTACAGGTGAAGAAACTGAGGCAAACAGAGGCTTAGTGACTTGCCCAGGCTCACACAGCTAATTACACATCTCAGGCTAGATTTTCATCCAAATCTTCCTGATTAGGTCTAGCATTCTGTTCATTGCAGTTGCTGTGGTGAGTGCACCCTTGTATAGTAACATGCTTGTAGAGTATCACAATCTTTTTATGTCTCCTCAGCCCTTCGTCATTGCTCTTTGAATGACAATTTGAGAAAATTAAATGAATACTACTTTGATTCCTTTCTATCCCCTTAAGCTGAGCTCAGGAATTTAGCTTTCCCTCTGAGTTAGTTTAAAGTTATAATTAACAGGGAAAACTGTTACCTCCCATACCTTCAGCTCCTGGGAAAATTCCAGGGCAACTGTTAGTTATCTTTAAAAGCCTACAAGCTGTCCTGGTATATTACTGCATGGCATATTGTCAATCTTTGCCTGTCCTTATACAATTAAGGAAGGTCTTATTTTCTAACAAACCCTCCTAGGAGCCAGGGAGTCTGCTATCTCTGGTCCACTAACAGGATACAGATAAGTCCCATAAATCAATCAAGCATCCCTTACAAACAGAGAGGGATCATTACTAGCCCCACCTGGATGCTAGCCTGCTTTCGTTGATGAAACCAATTATGTTGTCCCCACCCCCACGGTCCTTTAACCAATTGCATTATCTTCCCCACCTACCCACTTCTGTTCTTTGTTTTCCTGTACTTCCTAAAACTACAGAAAGGCTCCTAAGCCCTTCCTCGTGGTCTTTGGTCATTGACACAGTCCAACTTATTGGTTACTGCTAGCCTAATTAATAAATTGATCATGCCCAGAGCCTTGTTTCTCAGTTTGCCTTAATTTTCAAAGGTAAAAATGAGTGACCCATGAAGGGATGGAGGGGGGACAGTAGTCTCTGAAATAGCCCCCCATGGACAAACCCCAACGGCACTCACTGGGGCTTTTCCATGAAGGAGTACAAGTAGAAACTTGACTCTCCCTCTCAGCCCCAATATTTTCTGAGCTAAAGGTAAGCCCTTCCCTGCATTGTTGAGGAAGCTGCAATTTTGTTCAGTTGCCTTGGGGTATTGTTTTGTGTTCAATGTGATAATTTGGAAATAATTGGCCATGTAAAGCCCGGACAATGCCCCTATGTTACTTAAATCTTTGAAGATTTCCTTCTTCAAGAAGTGTTCTTAGTTTATGCTGAAGAGGGCCTCAAACCCTTTGAGAAATCTTTCCTTCTTCAAAGGGGTTCTTGGTTTATGGCAATAGGGATTATATATAGGGATTATCCCTCTTTCTGGGAAGTCTTAAACCTAAGAGAATTTACTTTCTCTGAGAGGACTTCTGGGCGCTTGAACCTTAAAGAATTCCTTCCTCAAGGGAACTCTTGATATTAAATCAGGAAGGATGATTTCCATTAAAGGGTAAGGCATCTCATCTTCGTAGTTGAGGAAAAAGGGGGCAACCAAATTATAGTTTAAAAAAAAATTTCTTAGGAGACCTATCACAGACCTGTGTCTACTTGTCTGTTTCTGTGTATATAGAACGGTCTCTGGCGACATCTAGTGACCAAATTGGGAATAGCAACAAGCTTGTTGTGAAGTTTAGCGAACTTAATAAGCATTTTGGCTGATGCTCTGCAAAAGTCCATCAGCTCTGTGTTTATCTGTGCTTGTGTTGTGTGTGTGTGTGTGTGTGTGTGTGTGTGTGTGTGTGTGTGTGGTGTGTGTGTGTGTGTAGAAAATTGTGTGCATGGATATAAGAAGGAAAAACCTTGCCAACAAATGTTTCTCTGCCTTGATATTCAAAGGAAAATGCAAGCATATTCCTAGCATATTGAGTGGCTACCCTGTGATCAACTTGTGGGAGGAAATGAAAGAGGATGGGCAGATATGGATGAGGTGTAATCTGTATCAATATTGAAGTACCGACATTGATCAGATCCCAGACCTAGCTGGAGTATTGGGGATACATGGGACATTCACAAATTTATCAAAGGAGCCAAATAGCTTCCTGGTATCATCCTTTAGGGGTTCAATTTGACAAAACCAATTCAGCAAATATTTCTTTTTTTAGAAAATAAATTATTCATATCTTGTGGGGTTTTTTTAACCTCACCAGAATTTTTCCTAGTATCCCCCCTTCCAGAGAGCTATCCTATATAGCAAATAATATTTTTTCAGGAAAAAAAGGAAGAAGAGGAAAAACCCAAGCAAAAGCAAATAAATTGAAATTCTCTGAAAATACAAGCAAGGTTCCATAGCCTCAAGCCTCCCACCCTTGCAGAGGAGTGGGGTAAGGGTGTCTTCTCACATATCTGCTTTATAATTTTTGGCAAACATTTTTATTTGAGTCGATGGAAATTTCTATAATGAAGGAATGTTCTTTAGGGACTGTTCTGAGCTTCTGATATATGAAATGAAAATAAGAAAGCTACAATGAACGATCTTTATTCAAGCGTGGTAGAATCGACAATATGTGTAACAACATATTGTTAAGCTTTTAAGTGCTACATAAATGGCTCCTTTCATTATTATTACTGCTAATATTGGTTGATATGATCATTGGGTTATGAGTTGTTTTCCAAAAGCAGTAGTCAACAAGCCTAGTATATGCCAGTGATATTTTAAAATGTGGATTGAGTTACAACAGAATTCTGAAATAAATAGAAATTAATTAAATTTCATTAATTTTAAATTTGTTGTTAAATTAAATTTAAAATTAATGAAATTAATAGAAATAGAAACAATCAGAATGGTCAATTACACAGAAAATGCCCATAAAAGGAGTTTTTGCATATGGGGAGCAGCTAGGTGGCGCAGTGGATAGAACACCAGCCCTGGAGTCAGGAGGACCCGAGTTCAAAGCCGGCCTCAGACACATAACGCTTAGTAGCTGTGTGTGACTTGGGGCAAGTCACTTAACCCCGATTGCCTCACACACACACACACACACACAAAAGATTATCCAGGGTATAAGTGGCAGATTCCATGCTTCCAATTTTCCTTGAAGTACATCACTTTCCATCATAACCTTCCCAAAGCAATTTACTTCTTCACCAGCTCATTTTAGAGATGAGGAGTCTAAGGAATGAAGAGGCAGCATGGTATAATGGATTGAACCCTGAAACTGAAGTCTGGAAGATCTGAGTTCAAATCATGCTTCAGAGATTTATTAGTTGCATGACCCTGGACCTTTTTGAGCCTCAATTTCCTGATGTGCCTATCTCACCAGACTATTATAAAGTTTAAATGAAATGATATATTTGTGTTTTCTAAGCCTTAATGTACTAAGGAAATGCCAATTATGATTATTATTATTTCTTCATAATCACAAGAGAAAAACTTGTAGTGTTGGGCCATGGTGATAATCATGAAAATAGTTGTTTTTCAAGGTGAACCCATTGGGACAGGGGGTAGAAGGATAAATGTTGAAGAAGTTGGCCAATCTTGCTTATTTTTTGCCCAACTGCATTCCATCTCCCATTATGTCCTTTACCTGTGACACTCTCATCAAACCCAGATGAAAATTCTATTGTAGACAGATCCTTTCACAAAAAAGAAGATGGGTCCCATTTGCTTCATTCACTTTTGGAGACTCAATTTTTGTTGAAATTACAAATTTTATTTCCATTATTAGGAAAGGGAAAGTAAAAGAACTTTTGGAGTTAATTCGCTTTGATCAAACACCATCGTCGTTAGCCTTTCTGTGGTTCGTTAAGCAGCAACATATTTCGTAGACACACTTTTTAATATTTGATTATCCAAAATTCAAGCTGAGCTAGATTTTGAAGAACCAGACAGGGGAGGCAAGAAAGACGCATTTCCCCTCGCTTAATCATCTGCAAGGGTCAGCTTTCTATCCTAATAATACCCAAAGAGCGGGAAGCTTAACATCCTGATTGTGACCTATTTTTATGACCAAAATCCAACTGTTCAGCAATTACAAAATAATGAAAGCCGCCACAAACAAGGTCATTACTTTTACAACGTTCTCTCCTTGAAGGGGCAAAACCAAGTCAATGGACCAGCTGATACTTCTTCCAACAAAATCTTCATAGTTTGGCTGAATTCTTTCCTGCATTTACTCACATATTTCAGTTGGATTTCTGATTCTAGTTGCATACTTGTCTGGGTCTGCTGCACTCATTACTGTTGTATAAACTGTTTTTCTGAAAAGAAAAAAAAAGAAGTAGAGTTATAGACGTAAATTATCTTCCTTGATCAAGTGAAAAGAGAGAGACCAATTGCACTTATTGGATAGAGCACCTGAGCTGGGGTTAGAAAGATGTGAGTTCAAATCCCACATCAGACACTTACTATCTGGGCAGGTCACTTAACCTTTGCCTCAGTTTTCCTCATTTATAAAGTGGAGATAAAAATAGCATCTAGTTCCCAGGGTGGTTGTAAAGATCAGACGAGATCATATTTGTCATGTGCTTTGCAAGTTTTTTATATATAGACAGTTCTCACTTTACATAAGTGGGACCATTCCACAGTCCTCTCTCTACATAAAATAATTTTTACTTACTGTGTATCTGCCCTCAGAAGGGAGGGAAAGAGGGAGGGAAGGACCCCATGGAGGGAGGGAGCCCATGGAAGGAGGGAGCCCATGGAGGGAGGAAGCCAGCACATAGTTCGAGGACATGTTGGACCTGGGGACAGAGCAGGAGGAGAAACACATGGGGCCTGGCCAGAACAGGGAGGAAGAACACATCTGGGGGCAGACACATGGGGTCTGGACACAGACAGAAGAAGATTGGTGATAGGTGGGGGTCAGAGGACAGACGTGCAGTACCCAAGGGCAAAGGACTGAGGAGAGATGCGCTGGACACGTTGGGAGAGTAGGGCCAAGGTCTCCTCTCTCTGCACTGGTGGGCTCAAGCCAAGCCCCCTATCCTGAGGTGGAGGTGGGGAATGAACAGGGGATGAGGAAAAACCTCCTGTACTCAGGTGGCACCTGAGAAAGGTCTTAAAGAAAGCTTGTGACCCCAACAGGTGGAGGGAAGGAAGGAAAGTATTCCACCCATAGGGAGCAGAGGACAGAAGGTCATCCGTGGGAACAAGGAACTTAGTTTGGTCTGAACAAAAAATGTGCCTTCCCACCCCAGAAATTACTTCAAATTTTCTTTGTCCATCTTTTATGTTGACTTCTCTGTGTATGTATCTGCCAATAAAATGAAAGTTCTCCCAGGGCAGGACGTGTTTCAGATTTGTCTCTGTCCCCTTAGAAGCTCTCTTGCCTTGCCCATTTCTAAATGGACCTTTGATTTCATTGGTATGTGGAACTCCAAAATGAGGTAAGTCCTGCTACTGAGGCGGGGCTTAAAGTGCTAAGAGCTTCAGTGACTTGCCCAGGATGAAACAGCCAATATGTGTCAAAGGCAAGACTTGAATTCAAGTCTTTGTGACTTGTAAGCTGGCTCCCTATCTACTATGTCACATTTCCTTCACGAAGAAGACACTCAATACATTCTTGTTGAATTGTTGAAATGTAAGTCACGTCCACTGATACCAAACACAGATTCATTGTTTGTTTTTCTGCAAATCTCTGGTGCTCACTTAGGAGAAGATGAGTATGTTCCCTACCCTAGAGGTGAAGAAACAAACTGGTTTCACTTGTATGATACTTATTTTCTTTTTTAATTTTTTTCTTTTTTTTTCCCAAATTACATGTAAAAAACAATTTCTAACTTTAACTCATTTTTTTTTTAAATTTGGAGTTTCAAATTCTCTCCCTCCCATCTTTCCCCCTCCCTTCCCTCAGGCAGCAAACAGATACATGTGCAATCACACAAAACGTATTTCCATTATATGGTACTTACTGATTCAGAATGGGACATGTGGTCAAAATCTGCATTAAAAATAAAAATATGTCCCATTACTTAAATTATTAAAAAAAAGTTCCAAAACACCAATGGGCAAATTGACAAAATTTAGAGAAATGTTCAATAGTAGGAATAGAAGAGAATGAAATATAGATGGGTCTTTTTTTATGATTGAAGATACAAAAAGAAACTCCGAAAATCTTAGTCATTTTTCTTAAAAAGGAAACTCAAAAATCCCAACCTAACGATTTCATTTGCCCCTCTCTTAGAATCACATTTGGTCTGCAAATTCTTTCCAATTCTTGTAATTAATTTCTATCTCTTTCAAAACATCCCAAATAGTTTGTGCAAAAGCTGAGCATTTCAATGGAAACAAAGTACCACTTACCTCATAAAGTTTATCCAAGTTGATATTTGCCTGGCCAGTTTCATTCATAGCCTTTATGGCAGGTGTTCTGGGGGGAAACCAATAGAAGTCAGCTAGCATTTTAGAAATCCCTGAGATACCATTACAAGTTCTAAATCACAACTGTAATGCCAGTTAATTTTCCCCATTCATTGTAATAGACAGACACTGAGTCCAAAATGAGTTTTCTAAATAGGCCTAGAATTATTAGTGATAAATAATAATGGAGAAATATAAAGTGTCCCTAGATGGATGGTCTAACATCATAAAGACAAAAAATGTACATGGGAGATGTTTGATATAACACAAAGTATTATCCAACTTCCAAGGAATACTGCCCACAAATTCTTTACAACCACTGTCAGCAAACCCACCAAGACAATGCTCCTGAGGCACTCAGGGGGACATTTCTATGTCATTTTTAAGTTGGTTAAGTCATTATCAAAGGAAAATAGATACATAACCCTGGAGGATTTTCTTACCTGACACCATGAACCACCCCAGGGATCTGAGAGAGGAGAACATTGTTTTAACCAAAAAAACAAAAAAAACCAAAACCACATCAAAAGCGTCACAGAAGCACACCTTCGGTGATCACGGGGAGGACATGGGATCCAGTGGTCACAATTTGTCTGTACTAGGAACCACCTAAAATACAAAATATAAAACAACCTGAGTTATCACGGGCAATTATCAGTATTTCTACACAGCACTAACAAAAACTAGGAGGAAATGAAAAATAAATTTCATTCAAAACTGACAAAATTAGCAAAAAAAATGGCTGTAAAGACACACTCAGGACTTATAGAAATACCACTTTAAAATACTCTTCACAGAAATGAATTGAAAACAAACAGTAATATATTCAATATTTATTGTCATGATTGACCAATACAGATATGATAAAAATGATAATATCACCTAAATTAATTTCAAGATGTAGTGACTTCAGTTTACATAATTTTTCAGTCATGTCCAACTCTCCTTGACCCCATTTGGGGTTTTCTTGGCAGAGATATTGGAGTAGTTTGCTATTTCCTTCTGTAGCTCATTTTACAGATGAGGAACTGAGGCAAATAGGGTTAAATGACTTGCCCCGGTGTCTGAGTAAGTGTCTGAGACCAGACTGGAACTCACAAAGATGAGTCTTCTTGACTCCAGGCCTAGAACTCTATCCACTGCACCACCTGGCTGCCCCAGGTCACTTTATAGAACTGGGCAAAATAACAAAATTCATTTGGAGGAATAAAAAAAATCTAGAAAAAGGAGATGGCATAAATATCATGAAGTCATCATTGTCTCCAATTAGGAAATTGTGCAAAACACTTCAGGGTTGACTGGAAACCTGGGTTACGTATTCAGAAATTCCCTTTTCAATCCCCATCGATAAAATTCAATCTCCTACCTTCCTACCTTTGCATGGGCTGTTCCCCTTGTGCAAATTTAGACATCTCCACTCCAAATGTTCATGTGGACTATTTGTGCTCAACCTGTGGTAGAGTCTTCCAAGCTCATATCAGTCTGATCAACCACAGTCGGACACGTTGTACCTTGACCCCAATAGAGTGATGTCATTTCAGTCCTCTTTGAGAATGGACAGCAACCAGTCAACTCCCTTGTCTGGGAGGCACCTCCTACCCACTGCTGCTTCTAAGAATCCCTAGCCTCCTTCAACCATCTACTAAGGTACTACAGTTCTCCCTTCTGCATTGCGACTTTCCCCATTGTGGTTTCAGTACATGGCAGGTCAGTGTAAGAAATTAAATGGGAATCTTGGGGGAGTCTTGCAGAAGCTGCAGATGACACAGAAAAAGTTTAGAAACTCAGAAATGCATAAAACATATGTATAGTATTGTACAATATCAATATATTGTATCTTTTAATACTGTAAACACCCCATAAAAGAAAATGAAAAAATTCAGACTTTTCTGGTGTGAAGGAAGGGCCAAAAGCTTTTGTAGGAATTTTCCAGATCACGGGGCACCGCACCTCTAACCACCCCCTTTCCACCTCCTGTGATATGGAAAGGATGACTATATCTTCTTTAGGAAGTCTCTCATGATCCCCAAAGTTGGTAGTGCCTTTCCCTTACTAAAATTATTTTGTATTTACTTATCTGAATACATATTACATTTCCACCCATCCCTACAGGGAAATGGAAGCTCTTTGAGGTCCACAAAGATTTTTCTCCCTCTCTCTCTGTAACCTCAGTAAATAGCACAATGATCTGCACATAGTAGGTGCTTTAAAAATGTCTACCAAATTGAAAGTAGCTATTATCTATACACGTGACACAGGCTGGTTTCTCTCCGAGATGGACACAGGAAGTGCCTCTTCATTCTCTAGTTCATCAGAAAGAAGTATATTCCTTTTAAAAAATGTAATAAACACCATCGAACAGCAGAGAGTGTTGTATCTACCAGGTCAATCTGTGTATTCCTCTCCTGTCCAGACATTAGGACAGGTGGTTGCCAGCTCATGCCTTAGGTGGTAGAGTAGATAGAGTGCTGAGCCTGGAGTCAGATCTGAGTTCAAATCCAACCTCAGATACTTACTTAGCTGTGTGACCTTGGGCAAGTCACTTAACTTCTGCCCACATCAGTTTCCTCAACTATAAAATGTGGCTAATAACAACACCAGCCTCCATGGTTGTTGTGAGGATTAAATGAGATATTTGTAAAGTTCTTGCCAGAGCTCCTGGCATATAGTAGGTGCTTAAGAAACGCACTTTTCCTTCCTTCCCTTCGCCCCTCCCTCCCTTGCTTGTGGGACCATCTCCAGTCACCCTGATCTATATTTTACCACTGGACCCAGATGGCTCTGGAGGAGAAAGTGAGGTTAGTGACCTCGCACAGCCCTGCCTCACTTAAATCCAATTCATTTGCAAGTCCCGGCACCATCTTTCTGATGTCATGGTCCACTTTGAGAGTGAACGCCAAACAACAATAACCCTCCCTTCCTCAGCTCAGCCCTTCGGGAGGTTGGGACTCGGCTCTTACTTCTAGGTCTAGGAGTGTTTCTGTGTGTGGACACCTCCACCAGCCCAATTACTCAGCTCTAGCCTTCAGCCACCTACCCTTTCGTCCGCTCACCAGTCACACATCTGCTTTGCTAAGGGTTTTATTTTTACAAATCATTTAATCAAAGTGACATAAGAAGGTGTGCCATTCACCTGCAAGCACACATCCCATCTTCCCCAGTCCCTGACTCTCCTCTAGTCTCCCTGCTCGCTCCACCTTCCGAAGCTTGAGGAGGACAAGAAACCTGAAAAGCTGGGTTCTGGGTGGCTCCCAGCCAAGAGCAAAACAGACAACTCATTCCCCAGCAGGTGCGCTCCCTCAGGCTACCCTGATAAATGCAGACTCCCGTGATGAATGCGGGCTCCTCTGTATACTCAGAATGCTGATTGTGGTCGGGCTGGCTCCTTCCAGCTCCGCATCAGTCTTCTTCCTTACTAGACATCAGGAACACGTATCAATTGGTATCTGAGCCCTTCAGAACTGGGATGGTCTATTGGATTTCTCCAACCAGGTATTCCTATTTTCCAAGCTCCTCCAAAGTCACCTGTCACGAAGGAGCTAAGTGGGCTGGCTTAAGTCTGAGGGCCGTTATTCCTTTCCGGGACTCTGAGTTCGCCTTTCAAATTGCCGATTCCCCACCACATTGGAGTGCTTTCCAACCGATCGCGAATATCACTGAGCAGGTAATGTTATTTCTGCTAAAGATGGAAGACATTGATGTCAAAACAAATGAGACAAGTGACCTGCAGAGCAGGAATGGAATCCTGACCTATGGCAGCAGGTCACCAGGATGAAATATGCACAGTGAAAAAAAGGGGAGAAGAACCATTAAGCATGTGGGGCAAAGTCATCAATTTGAGGCTCTTCCCAAATAGGACGGAGTAAGGTCCTCTGACAAGGAAACCGCTTCTCCCTCAAAGAAGGAAGATGTGGTGTAAGGTGCCATAAGATAAGGAGTCGTTTGCTGGATTTCAGAGGAAGCAGAAACAAGTGATGGTGGCTGATAATCCTAGTGGAAGGTTATTGAAGTAGCTTTTTAGGCACTCAGCATTAGCAGCAAAGGTCTGCTCTCTCCCTGGTGCATGTATCCAAGACATGACAAACACCTTCTCAAAACTGGTCAGTCAAATAACTACTGCCCAATTCTGGTGATTCAGGCACAAACAATACTGCCAAGGAGGAATCTCAAAAGTATTACTAAGAATTATTCAGTCTTAATGAGAAAATGAAGATCTTAGAAATGGGAATAATGTTTTTATCTTCGTCAATAGCCCACTGAAGAGCATCTAGGCACAGTGGATAGAGCACTGAGCTTGGAATTAGGAAGACTTCATCTTCTCGAGTTCAAATCCAGCCTCAGACACTTGCTAGCAGTGTGAGCCTGGGCAAGTCATTTCACCCTGTTTGCCTCCGTTTCCTCATCTGTAAAATGAGCTGGAGAAGAAAATGGCAAAATGCTCCAGTATCTTTGCCAAGAAAATCCCCATATGGGATCATGAAGAGTTGAACACGACTGAAACAACCCAATGACAATAACGACAACAGTCCATTGAAGGCAGAGGTATCAACAGAAACCCTTATTGGGCTGTCTTTTCCCAGTCCCTCTCCCTACCTCCGTAGGCAGATGGCTATAGAGTTTTAGTCAGAATAGGGACTACACCGGTGATTTCTTTGGCATAGGGAATTCTTGAGTAAGGAAACTCCCTCTAGTCCCCTTCTTTAGCAATTTATGGCTTTAAAGAGTGGTCAAAAAGGTTAAATTGCTTCCCCAGGCTCACACAGTCAGTATGTGTCAGAGACAGGACTTGAAATCTGTGATCTAGTTGGCTCTGACACCAGGTCTCAGTCTACTTAACCACACTGCCTGGTCTAACTTTAATAAAAGCTTCAAACAACATAGTAAGGTAGAATGAGCAATTAAAGAAAGAGAGCTTCCAAATGCCAACTGCTTTGGCTGCAGTTAACAAATTCTGTCCCCCACTCCATTCCTCTTCCTCTCCCCCAGTCAGAAGGGAAACAGGAAGTGACTGTTTCGATAAGTAAACAGAGGGCAGCTTGCCTATTCCAGAGATGGAACTGGGGGGATGAGGAAGAAAGGGTCTGTGAATTGGATCTAGACATAGCCTCCACCACCTCAACTCTCCAGATGCTGTTTTATTCATCCACTCCATCCAGGTGTTGGTCCCTGAGAATGTCACTCCTCTTTTCTTCCTCTGTAGACCTCCAACCAAATCCTTTACCCACCTCACACTTTGGAATTTCTTCACATTAGTCTGTTTTCTTATAATACAGTGCTACTTTTTCCTCTTCCTTTCTATTTCGTGCCATTTGAAGAAGTTAGACCCTTCTACAGCCATATTCCAGTGAGGTGTTCCATCTCACCAAGACTCTGTGATAGCTATGAGGTAAAAACCTATCCCCTTTGTGTTGGGGTCTTTAGTTCACTTTGTTAGCCATGCTTTTTACATGTATAAGCGTATTTCACATTTATATTGATCTTTGCATATATACATATACATGCATATGTGTGCATATACAAATATTTACATACATGTATATTTGTATACACACATATATGGCAGCTGGGGGACATAGTGGATAGAGCACCATGTGCCTGTGGAGGTATAGAGTGAGATTAGGAAAAGATAGCCCAAGGGAATAGGAAGGTTTTCCTCAAGTCATGAAAAAGTGAAGTAAAGTCTGTGAGAGAGAGAGAGAGAGAGAGAGAGAGAGAGAGAGACAGAGAGACAGAGAGAGACAGAGAGAGAGAGACAGAGAGTCAGAGAGAGAAAGAGAGAGAGAGAGACAGAGAGACAGAGAGAGACGGAGAGTCAGAGAGAGAGAGAGAGACAGAGAGAGACAGAGAGAGAGAGACAGAGAGAGAAAGAGAGAGAGAGAGAGAGAGAGAGAGAGAGAGAGAGAGAGAGAGAGAAAGAGAGAGAGAGATTGTTATTTTAAAAATATTCTAGATATATACACACTCTGGAATATTGTATGTATGTATGTATGTATTCAGAGCATATCTAGACCTATTTTCTTTTGAATTCAAAGGGAGCGACAGACAGTAACAGAGGCAGAGAGACACAGAGACAGAGAAACATACAGAGACAGAAAGAGAGATAAAGAAAAGCTATAGAAAACAATGAGCCAGTAGCCAGCTGTGTGGAAACCAGTACATTCCACTTTGGGGTTTGAATTTTGGGGGGTTTTGGGGTTTTTTGTGGTTTTTTTGTCCGACGACACCTTGGCACTGTGTCAGCTGAGGCTTTCCTTGCCTGATATCAGAGGAACCCCAACACCCACATCCTTTGGGTCTTTTTCTTGATGGCTTCACTTGGCCCACCAGCAAGACCAGACAAATTTTCTGGTACACTTATCACTTTGACTAGTACTAAATTATCAACTGTTACAATTTTTAAGTCTATTAAGGACCCATCAAAAGTTATACGTATATTGGCAAAAAAAAAAACAAAAAAAAACCAAAAACACAAAACTGTGAAGCTGGTAATCCAGCCAGGCAACAAAAGCTGAAAGAAGAAAGTTCTTGGTTTGACTTACTCTGTCTCCGGGTTAAGAGGCCAGATGTCCACTGGGCCAACTCTGTTTCTCGAGATGACTAGCCCCTCCCGGTCAGACACACCTCCAATGATACAATAAACATTTGTAATAAGGGGAGTCTCTGACAGTCTTTGAACAGCATCGTGAAAGCTCTGGGCTTCTTCTAGGGTCTAACCAAAGAGACAAAGGCAAACCGTTAAGAGGGAAAGGCTGCCTGTGACTCAGTGATGTCCTGAAAGAAAGAAAGTTACATGACCCTGATGAAAGCAAGCCCAGTAGACTACTGGGGGTCCATTTCATCAACTTTCAACTGACACAAGGAGAATTATGTTGTATCCTTCTACTTGACTGAGTTCTCCATCTACCCTGGCTATCCTACCTGCTTCTGCTCCTCTCCATCCCCCCATGGACCAGTACCCTGAACACAAGACCTCCAGAGTCTGTGCCCAGTCCATGGGGAAATTGATACGCTCATCTTTGGAATCTTTGGAATATCTACCCGGAAGTCCCAGCTCTTAGAGTAGTGACTAAGTGTGTAGGACACTTTTGGGCATCCAGTTCAAAGGAATACTCAGAACTGGAGGGTTTAAACTTACAATCCTTTTATTAAAAACATTCTAATACCCTCAGGAAGGGATGGGAGAATGGAACAAGCATTTATTTCACACTTACTTTGTGCCAGAACTATGATAAGTGCTTCACAAATATTATCCCAGTTGATTCTCACAATAACACTGAGGTAGATGCTGTTATTGTCACCATTTTATAGTGGAGAAAACTGAGGCAGGCAGCAGTTAAGTGACTTGCCCAGAGTCACACAAAGAGTAAGTGTCTGAGGACAGATTTGAACTCAGGTCTTCCTGTCTCCAGGATCAGTGCTAATAGCTGCCTCAGGTAGAGGCCAGTAGTTAAAAGAAGGTATTTAAACAGCAGTTCAGGATGATAAAAACAATAAAAAAAAAAAAAAGATTAAAAGCAGTTTGTCAGGAGATTCCCTGGAGTCTCATGAACTCCTCAAACCAAAATCCTAATAACTACTTTCATATTTCTTTTGCCAAAAAGACCCACAGCTGGGTTCAATCTATCTAAGGGAAAGTTAATTCAAACTCTCCCAGGTCTGTACCACAACCTAGCATGCAAGTGTCCCAGCTCTTATTGTGGAAGTAAAGGTTCATTCATACACAGTATCTGGGCTTACAACACCAAGTTAGTTCAAATGAGCCAACTATATGTAGCTAGCCCAGGCCACATTTTACCTGCAAACCCCATCCATCTAGGACGTCTTGACCTCTGTCTGCAGCTATGTTCAATTCTGCTCCCTCTCCCATTGTACTTTCTACCTTTTGTTCTGGTCATATAACACAATCAAAAGAAATATTACTTCTGGAAAGGACGTCAACTGAATGTCCTATGGGTCAGCCTATCATCTCTATGATTTCCCAGACTGATACTCTCTCCTCTAGCCACCACTCCCCTATGTGTGTTGTTTCTTCTCCTATTAGAATGTAATGTCCTTGAAGGGAAAGATTTTCTTTTTTCATTTATATCCCTAGCAACTTAGCACAGAGCCTGGCACATAGTCTCTGTTTAATATATGCTTTTCATGGTTACAGTATTTGTGTTTCTGAAAATTTTCATGTAAACTATTTTTTTCAAATCAAATTCTATCTTGCATACAGTGGGGGAACTTACTTTTTAAAGGAATCCTGCCATGATTCCTTTCGCAATGTTAAACAATCATTTCCCTTTATTTTTTTGGTTTATACATTCATATTTTAGTAAACATGATAAACTTCTTAGAATGGGGTAAATCTCTATCTATAGAAAGTACAGAAAGAATATTGGTCAATCTTTCTTCTTCCAAACACATTCCAGTTTTCTAATTTTCCTCTGAAAATAGAGGATCCTTCACTGAATTAATACTTCAAATATAGTGCAACCCATCCATAACAGAATAGGTCTGCTAGGAAAACCTCTTGGATATAGAATCTGGGTCACTAAGAAGTTACCATTTACTCTCCCAGAGACTCAGTCTCCATATTTGAAAAAGAAGGGACTTGGACCAGATTATCACTAAGGTCCCTTCCTGTATAAAGCTCTAAGATAGTTGTTCAATCATTTCAATTGTGTCTGGTTCTTTGTGACCCCATTTGGTATTTTCTTGCCCGAGAAAAGTGGTTTACTATTTCCTTCTCCAGCTCATTTAATAGATGAGGAAACTGAGGCAAACAGGGGTAAATGACTTGTCCAGAGTCACATAGCTAGTAAGTGTTGGAAGTTAGATTTGAACTCATAAGGATGAGTCTTCCTAATTTCCTAAATTCTGGTTGTCCCTCCCTATATCTACATCTATATCCATATCGATATCTATGTCTATATCCATATCTATATCTATGTCTATATCCATATCTATATCTGTATCTTTATCTATATCTATATCTATGTAGAGAGAGAGAAATGCTCATTTTATTTAATGTTTGTTAAGTTCATGTTTTTTAACTTAATAAACAAGTAATGTGAATGGAAAATATACTTACATTCCTGAAAACCCAGCTGATGGGAAGATGTCTTTTGACAAGAGCAGCCACTGCGTTCTCCCACCATAAACCTTTGTCTGAAAAATCAGGAAAAGGATATTATGGTCAATCAATCAGTCAAGTATTAAACAAGAAACCAATATTGCCAGACATCATGCCAGGGAGTAGAGACACAACGATAAAGATCAAACAATCCCTGCCCTCGAGGATTTTACATTCTACACTATAGGAATGTAAGGAGAAAATGAAAATGTCATGGTAATTCCATGCTGGCTGCCAAGAGACATTGCTTTTAAGATCCTCAAGGGAGAATGGATAGCAGCAGCAAGGGAAGGGAGGTGGTGTGCAGGCAAGTGAATGCAGTATTATTCTATTGTCTGAAGCTAAGGATGAATCTTATGTCAACCAAGGCACAGCACCCTGCCTCCTTTCTATCTGTCTGTTGTCTGTCTGTCTGTCTCTCTCCCTCTCTTCCTAATCTCTCTCTCTCCCTCAATCTTTTTCTCTCCTCTCTTGATCCACCTTCCCTCTTTCAATCTCTCTCTCTCCATAAACACATATACATATGCATACACACATATACATATATACATACATACTAGACAAGGACATGCAATGTTCTCATGGCCACAAGATATGCAGCAGTTCACATAAGTTGTGTACCAGCCTAGACTGCCTCACCATTTGGTGCAGGGTTCATCATTAGTAATAGGAAGTGAAATTGAACATAATGGACCATTATTGTGCTGTAAGAAAAAGAGGCCAAGGAAGACTTACATGAACTGATGCAGAGTGAAGTGAGCAGAACCAGGAAAACAATAGACACACAGCTAGGTGGTGCAGTGGATAGAGCACTGGCCCTGGATTCAGGAGGACCTGAGTTCAAATCCTGCCTCAGACACATAACACTTACTAGCTGTGTGACCCTGGGCAAGTCACTTAACCCCACTGCCTAACCAAAAAACAAAAACAAAAAAAAAAACAATAGACACACAATGATTACGACAATGGAAACCATTAAAATTGAATGCCATGATGACGTGACAACACGTGCTCTTCAGCCTAGTAACGACGGCCTCCTGAACTGACCCATGAACAAGACGCCCTATCTCCTGGCTCCAGGCATTTCTGCTGGCTGTCTCCCATGTCTGGAACATGCTCCCTCTTCCGCTCCAACTACTGACCCCCCCCTGGCTTCCTTTAAGTACCAACTAAAATACAACTTTCTACAAGAATGTAGAATGTCAGCTTGAGGATGGAAATTGTTTCATTTGTGTATCTTTGTACTTTTTCCCTTAGCACCCAGCATATAGTAAACACAACAGATGTTGGATGATAGATCAGTTGGTATCTCCAGCACCTAACACAATCCCTTTTATACCACAGCTGCTCAAATGTTTGTGGTGAATACATGAAATATGCCTGGCCCCAAGATTCCACTGACCTCTGCCTTTCCCATCAGGCAGGACAAGGGACTGGATAGGTGCTTTTCCACTATGTTAGATATTGATGAAGAAATCAATATTCTCTTTGCTACTGTGAAAGGGAGAAGCAATCTGCTGCCATGTGGTTCCACAGACAAGCACCACGCTTCTGAGCTGTAGTCTCTCAAAGGCCTTGAATGCCATTCCCACTCCCTCATAACACTCCATGTCAGCCCCATCCCTCTGGCATCCCTATCACACTCTCCAGTACTCTTCCACTGTGGCCACCTTGTTCTATTAACAAACTGCCCTTCATGATAGAATTGTACCCTTCCCCTATAAATTTTTTTGTATATATTCATATACAGAAAATTTCCACATATATTTTGTGTTCCTTTATATGTTGTTCCCCCCTCTTCCCCATCTCATATAAGCGCAGGACTGTTCAGATTTGCTTTGATCCCCCCTCACCAACCGCAGCCTTCGTACATAGTAGGCATTTATAGATTGGTAACTCCGAATGTCAAAGAAACATAAAAGAAAGAAATGATTATCATGGCAAATCTGATGCCAGTTTCTACCAACATTGCCTCCATTGTGCAGGCAAATTACAAAGACAAGAATAGCTCTCTCCCTTTCCCCCCATTTTCACTACCCTCCCACCCCCAAAACAACATCAAGAATTGCAACCAACGGACAGCTAGGTACTCAGTAGATAGAGTACTGGCCTGAAGTCGGGAAGACCTGAGTTCAAATCTGGCCTCAGACCAAACACTTGACACTTACTAGCTGTGTGACCCTGGGCAAGTCATTTAACCCCAATTGCCAAAAAAAAAAAAAGAATTGCAACCAAGGTTTAGTGAAATAATTGTATCTAACTTGACTTTAAGAAAATATACTCATATGACTTTATGAATAGAGCTACAGTCCTAAGTTATCTGAGTAAAATAATGGTGGTGGTGGTGGTGGTGGTGGTAGTGATATTTACTTACCTCGTTGATTGCCAGAAATTGTAAACTTATGTGGACTTTGTCCAGTCCATATACCCACATAGCCAACAAACGTTGTTCCCGTGTAGGCAATCTGAAATCAGAGGAGGTAAGTTATTAGTCTGCAACTCTTACCAAATACATGCTTTAATTACCTAAAACATCCATATTTCCCTTTACTTCAACATATTGCTCAATGGGAATTTGAAAAAAAAAAAAGACAAAACACTAAAATTGTCCCCGAAAGACAAATCATCCATAAACTTTTTCAGTTTTTTATCTAGCTTATGAACAACATCTGAAGTAAGAAACCATAGCAAACACTATAGTGGATCAACAGTGACCCTGACCAAAGGCAGAATCACAGAATCTTACAGCTGAGACCTCTCACACCGATAGATGTGGGCAGCTGCGGGGTGCCATAGTACATGGAGTGCTGGGCCTGGAGTCAGGAAAGACTCATCGTCCTGAGTTCAAATCTGGCCTCCGATACTTATTAGCTGTGTGATCCTAGGCAAGTCACTTGTTTGCCTCGGTTTCCTCATCTGTAAAATGATCTGGAGAAGGAAATGGCAAACCACTTCAATATCTCTGCCAAAAAAACCCGAAATGGGGTAATGAAGAGTCAGACGTGATGAAATGTTGTAATCATCAAATCCAATGAATGAATGAATGAAATGAATGAAAAAAACATACATTAAGCACACTGAGATAAATGCTGGGGTCAAAACAGACATTTGGAAATAGTCTCTGCCCTCAAGGAGCTTGCATTTTAATAGAAGGAGACAATAGATATTGGGGGAGGGGGCAACATTGGTTCAGAAAGTTAGCAGGGTGGTGAATGGAAATATAGAGGGCAGATTGCCATACCCTTCCAGTAAAATGGCAGCATATCTTGACTATGGCTCCAGGACTGGAAAAAGAATGGGATGGTTGACAGGGGATGTACATGGACATGTACAGGGAAGTAGATGAAGCTTGTCTGAAACCCAGATCTAAACGTAGTGGATAACTGAGGCCACTACCCACTGGCAGTTCTGGGCATTAATGGAATATCAGAAGAGACCTTAGACACCATTAGTCCAACACTCTCATCTTACGGATTAAGAAACTGAGGTATAAAGAGAAGTGACTTGCCCAGAATCACACAGCTATTAAGTGTGTGGGGGCAGATGTGAATCTAGAGCTTCCTGAGTCCAAGATCAGTCGGATAGCACTACACCACACTGCCTCTCATGAAAGGGACCCAGTGTTATAGTGGCTGGTAAGGAAGACAGACAGTGGAGATTAGTAGAAAGCTGTTGCAATAATTGACATGTCCCCCACTAGTGGGAAGCCTACGTCTCCGATATACAGACCTAGGCTCCCAGGAGAGCTCACTACCTGTGAAACTCTAATTCTCAGAAATGTTTTCCGGACATCAAGTCTAAATTTTCCTCTTTACGGTGCCATCCCTTTGCTCTTTGGGGCCAGAGATAGCAAATCTCATCCCTCTTTCAGACAGCAGTCCTTCAAATATTTTCCCCAGAAAACACATGTGATCTCCTCACATTGTCACCTGGTCCCCTTGGTTCTTGGGAACCGATGCTGACTGTACCACTCTTACTGAGACCAATATCAACTCATGCCAGACTCCCACCTTACCTGCCCGTTTTTTGTGAACTGGACATCCACTGTAAAATTGCGTAAGCCCTCTCCAGGCTCATAATCCAAGTTCCGGACATGGTAAATGTGGCCATTGGCATCTTGAGCTACCATACTAGTACAGAATCTGGAGAATGTGGACAGAGTAAATAAGACACAGCAAATGCAAATAAGAAAGCAAAGCAAGAAAATTGGTTTTTAAAATAATTTCTCAAAATGAGACCATTTTGATTTCTTAAAAGCCGAAATGGATGCCCATCTCATCTTCAAGATTTACAATACTTCAAGAATTTTGAATAATTTGTCATCATCACTGCTAACTACTACTCTGCCCTAGCAATTTGAATCATTAATATGAGCCAGTTAGGTGCTGCAGTAGATAGATCTTTGACCTGGAATCAGAAAGACCTGAGTTCAAATCTTACTGGTTGTATGAGCATAGGCAAATCACTGAAACTCTTAGCCTCAGTTTCCTCACTTGTCCTCTTTGAAAACCAAGAACAGAAAACCAACAATATACAAATGGAGATAATTAACACCTATCTCACAGGGTTGTTGTGAGAATCAAAATCAAATCTATATTAGCTATTATTATTTGTATTAGGAATATTCAGCTACATGGAACTGTAAGTGTTAAGAAGGCAGCATGAGCCAGGGGGAAGGACAATGGATTTGAATTCAGAAAACCTGAGTTCCAATCTTTACTCTGTCACTCTGACCCTAAATAGGTCACCTTGGGCCTCAGTTTTCTCATCTGTAAAATGAAAGTATTTAGCAGGATAATTTCAAAAATCCGTTCTAATTCTTCAATAATTATATAGAGCACATAATATTAGACATATATTTAAAAAATCAATCAATGTCATTAAGTGATTTTAATGATTATGCATAATATAATATATAACAATCATATAATATATAATAAATATAGTATATAATTATTATAATGTGCTAGGCACTGGGGATAAACAAAGATGAGTCTTCCCTCAATGAGATTACACTCTATAAACATATATGCATATATACAAAGTAAATAGTATAGACATATACACTCTATAAGTATATATGCATATGTATGTATGTGTATACACAAAATATATAAGAAATTAATATAAGGTTATTGGAAATGGGGCCTTAGCAGCTGAAGAGGATCAGGAACACCTCCCAAAGGAAGCATCATTTGAGCTGAACTTTGAAAGGTAGGGATGCTTAGAAGACGGAAGTGATGAGGGTGTACATTCTAGGCACAGGGTACAGCTTGTGAAAGGCTTAGAGATAGAATATCGTGTTCAAGGAACAGCAGAAGGGCTGGTCTGGCTGGTGGAAGGGCATATGGAATGGAGTGACTTTTATATACATATACATACATACATACATATATACATATCCATATATATGTATATATTTAGATAGGTAGACTGGAGCCAGGTTGCAAAGGCTTTAAATGTCCAACAGGTAAATTTGTATTTGATCCTAGAGGTAATAGAGAGCCACTAAAGTTTGTTGAGCAGAGGAATGACGTGGTTATGCCCCTGCTTTAGGAAAATCATTTTGGCAGTTGTATGGTTGGTTGGGAAAGGAGAGAGACTGGGGGCAGGGAGACCAATTATGAAGCAAAGAGCGGTGGTCCTAGTGAGGGGTGATGACGATAGACCCGGTAAGAGGAGATGAGGGCCTGAACTGGGGAGGGGGCTGTGTGACTATAGAGAAGGGTACACATGGGAGAGACACAGTCCAGTCTACAGAGCAGAGCCAATTGCCTGAGTCAGGTAATGAAGAACAGAATAAATTTATTGAGTCACAAACTTCATGAAACTGGGTCACTTTTTTTCTTTGATGATCATGGTTATGTGAACTGTTATAGTTGGTTCTAGACGTTGAGGTATTACATTTCTTTTCTTTTTTTTTTTTTTGAGGCAACCAGGGTTAAGTGACCTACCCAGGGTCACACACCTAGTAAGTTTTTCAGGCAGGATTTGAACTCAAGTTTTGCTGACTGCAGGGGCAGTGCTTTATTGCCTGAGCCACCTAGCTGGCCCCATTGAGGTATTACAGACAGAGGAAAACATTACTGGAAATAGAAACAATACTAACAACCGCCATTGTCTTGACTTGTTGGCTGTCATTCACCAAAGTTACCAACCACCTTTTGCAAACTTAGGGGAAAAGTACAAAGTGAATTAGGACTCTGATCCTACCTCTGGATGGAATGACCATGGAAGGGAACCAAGAAGGCATGAAAAATGTCCAAGGATAAGCACACTAGGAAATAACACCAGGCTTGTGTATAATTAATGGTAGCTATTCAGCCGTCAGGGGCTAGGAGACAAAGTGACTGGGCTCAGGAAGGCTTAGTAAGGAGAGAGAGTTCTTGGAGGAATAGATCTGAGGCATACTCATGAAGCTGAAAAGTAAGCGAGTAGATTGGAAGAGAGAAGGGGAAAATATTCCAGGCAGGGAGAAGGACCATTATAAAGGCCAGAGAAAAGAGGAGAATGCTTGCTTGGGTGGAGCAGATAGTATAAGTCAAGAGGAAGGCAGATGAGAGATGAACTAGAATATGTGGCATTATTATAGGGCAGCTAGATGGCTCAGTGGATAGAGTGCTGGGCCTGGAGTCAGAAAGTCCTGAGTTCAAATCCAGCCTCAGACTAGCTGTATGACTTTGGGCGAGTCACTTAACTTTGCCCAGGAGGCAGCTAGGTGGCTCAGTGGATAGAGCACTGGGCCTAGAATCAGGAAGTTTGTGGGGTTTTTTCTGTAATTTTTCAGTCACGTCTGACTCTTCAACTGCATTTAGGGTTTTCTTGGCAAAGACACTGGAGTAGTTTGCCATTTTCTTCTGCAGCTCATTTTACAGATGAGGAAACTGAAACAAATGGGGTTGAGTCAGGAAGATCTAAGTTCAAATCCAGCCTCAGACACTTACTAACTGGACAAGACAAAATAAGTGAACAACTGTTCGAAAACACCATATTGTATGTATAGAGATATATGTATTATGTACATATGTATGTACACATATGTATGTATTTGCATCTGAAATGAGAAGCCACGAGGAAGCATTCTAAATCTCTAAATATCATCAGTTCCACTTTCTCTCACCATTTATAAGCTCCTGGGGATCCCAACTGAAAACAGATTTCTTCTCTATCCACCTCTCTTTATCAGATGGTGGTCCCAGAAAAAGCAAAGCCTTCAAATTAATCAACAGTAAACTAATAACATATACTTACACACTTGATTCATAGACCAGATTGAAGAGAATGCCATCGACGAAGCTTATGTTGAGGGCATCGCATATTCCCCTAATCTCATTGGCGTAGGGCTCAAGCAGCAAGCCATCCAAATCATTGATTATCTCCTTAATCACAATGTAAACCCACCTCGGGATTTGTTCCCTGGGGGGCGGGGAGGGGGAACACAAAGTAAAAACATTTGCTCATTTTTCTCTGAGGTAAGGAGGGCAAAGGCTATTGTCCTTGGGCAGGTCACTTAGCTCTCCAAACCTACCTCTTTGTCCTAAAAATGGGGGAACTCCACGATGCCCTTCAGCTTTAACATACCGTGACGTAGAAAGGAAGAAAGGGGTGAGGAAGGAGGGAGGGAGGGAGGAAAGAAGGAAGGAAGGAAGGAAGGAAGAAGGAAGGAAGGAAGGAAGGAAGGAAGGAAGGAAGGAAGGAAGGAAGGAGTGAAGAAATGTGCGTGTGTGAGAAAGAAAGAGAGAGAGAAGAAGAAGAAGAGGAGGAGGAGGAGGAAGAGGAGTTGAAACAAGGTTTATTAAACCTGACAAAGATTACCAGTGAAACAGAAGCTGTGGATCAGTGGGGGGAAATACGTTTTATGTGTCTGTGCATGACACAGTCAACCTCAGATTTGTCTTCTTCCTACTCGTAGTTGGGGAAACAAATATCTTTCTTAGGCAGGCAGCGAAAATAAAAATTTATCCAATACCAGGCAGTGTCCATGCCCCCAAAGGAAAAGAATAACCAGAGACTCGCCCTCATTTAAGGACGCAATAGTGTCAGAGGGGAAAGGAAAAAATCTGGGAATCTTGTCTCTGTTCCCCACACACTCCCCACTCCTGGATCTATAGCTACTCTACCAGGGATCATCTACCCATCGAAAAGTTCCCTAAGCCGGAAGTTTCAAGGGAAGCACAGGAGGACACATAGTTTGAACGGGAAAAGCCTAAGCCCGGGATTCTCCTCTCTTCTCCCTTTTCTTAGCCCAAAGGATGGGGAATGGGAAATAGTCTTAGGGCAGGGGCTCTTAACCCGAGTTTCAAGGTCCACAAATAAACTTCAGGGTGTTCGTGAAGCTGAGTGGGAAAACATTACATCTTTATTTCAATATAATTGGCTTCCTTTTGAGTCCCGTGTATTTTAATTGGGGCATTTAAAAATATCCTAAGGAGTCCCTGGGCTTTCCCAGCCTGCCGAAGGGGTCCAGAATACACAAAAAAGGTTAAGCCCTCCTGTCTCTTCCCAGAGCTGCCTAGGGCACGGAGGACTCCTCACGTGGAAACTTTCTGTACAGAAGCAGATTGACAAGTTACGTGTTACTTAGAGTTTTCGAATTTCCTGGAGCCCCGCGGCCCAGTCCCATGGCCACTGTGGTCGGAAGAGGGTCTTTAACCTAGCTTTTCCTGCCTTAGAGGCTATCCATTACGCCATCCTGCCCCTCTCTCCCAGTGGATTTGAAGAATTCGTATTCTAAAATCAAATTCAAGAAGTGACTGTGTGCATTCCCAGCTCCCCGGGGACTTTCAGCCAGGACGCAGAGCCCCCTCCGCCAGTAGAGGCTGCTGTCCTCTGCCCGACACACCAGCCTACCCCCGCCCGCCGGCCTGCCTCACTTGACCGCATCTTTCACGTCCTTCTTCAGGGTGTCTAGGTCGAAGCGCTGGAGAGCGGGCAGCCAGCGCTGCTCAGGGGCATCGTCCAGGTTCACGGTCACCCGCTGCGGGACCACGTCCCGGCTCGGGGCTGGGATGGCCGCAGACAGGGATGCTGCGCCGGCCGACAGCAGCAGAGGCAGGAACAGCAGCCCCAGAGGCCTCCCCCAGCCCGCAACAGCGTCCCACGGTCTCATGGCTCAGGCTCTGCCACTCCTGGAGACCTCTCCGGACCTGGGCAGCCCTAAATAGGAGCTCCAGGGGAAGCCCCGCCCAGCAGGACACAGGCAGAGGAAATGGGCATTCACTAGACTTGGACCATGGGCAGCAACCCCGGGTTGTGGCGTAGTAGTCCAGAGACCAGCAGTCCCACTAGACACCCTTCAGAGGTGTTGGGTTGAGTAAGGACCTTCTCGGGCCACAGCGCCATCAGCGCATTCCAAAGGCATCCTCGGGCTCCAGCCTCTGGAGGCTAAATTCCCTCTGCTGTCCAGGAAAAAGATCGTAGGAACATGACATTTAGAGAGCAGAGGCCTTAGAGCCCAGGAAGTAGTGAAGGCTGTAGGGTCCTGCACTGGAGCCCAGGTGCACTGACTCCAAATCCAGGACTATGTCCATCGCTCCCAGCCAACGAATGTGTTTACTTATAAAGTATCAGCGTGTCCTAGTGGGCTAGTAATTATGTACGTTTTTAAACTTACATAAAATATGAATTAAAAAGGATGAGATAAAGATGAAATAATACTTGATTCCAATGTCAATAAGGAGACACTGAAATTTATTGTGTAGTAGAGTAAGGGTGGGGGGCAGCTAGATGGAGCAATGGATGGGGAGGGATGGTCTGGAGTCAAGAAGACCTGAGTTCAGATCTAGCCTCAGACACTTCCTAGTTTAAGAACTTATTAATTTATTATAGGCCAGGTATTGGGCTGACTGGAGTGTGAAAGAAAGACAGAAACTAGTGTCTGCCCTCAAGGAGTTCACATTCTGATGGGGCAGACAACCTGCAAATAATTATGTGTATATGTACAAGACAGTGTAATGGAAAGTCTCTGTCTTTCCATCCATCCATCCATCCATCTATCTATCCATCTGTCTATCTACACATGTGTGTATTTTGTGTATACATATATATATATACATATTTATATATGCACACACATATGTGTCCCAAAATTTTTGTGTCCCAAAAGAGTGGCCCAAAAGTTTTTGTGCATGGACAGTGCAGTGGAATAATAGGTAGATGACTAAAGATAAATACAAGTAATTAAGTAAGCATTACTATTACTTGGCATGATTTACCCTTATTACTGTTTGTTCCCAATGATTCTTGTGCCTTGGGTACAAAGGTTTCATTTTTCACCAAACATTAAACATCTCTTATGTGCTTGGCACCGGGCTAGGCCTTGGGAGAGATATTGAGAAAGTTTACTTCAAGGCTAATCCTTGCTTACAGCCAGTCAGTGCCTTAGTGGGGGATCAGGGGCTCCTGCAAGGGATGCAAAATCAACCAATTGAAGGGTGGGAAGACAGGTTACACCCTATCTCACTGCAATAGTTGATCGGGGGACCTGTCTCCAGGACAACCCCACCTGGTCTTACCCCCCCAACACCCCACCCTTCACTCTACTGCCTCCTTCTGCTATGGAAGCTCAGGGTGTGCTGACAAATATTTAATAACTGGTTCTTTTAAAAAAAAATTTACACATACCATGCTTTTAACTTTAATCTGCATTATTAATATTTTCTCCATCACTTTCTTAAATATGGACAATCAACAAAACAGTAAATCATGCCCTGTTTTGCAGTGGTGGCTGATTTCTGATGTGTAAATGTGTAAAATTGAAATTTTAACAATCAGCTTTCCTGGGAACGGGCTGCATTCAGCATCCAGCAACTGACAGGTGTCACTAGGGCAATCCTACCCCTATTGGCCTATGTGACGATCATTTCACGTGGCGGGTGCCTGGCACTTTGGAGGCACTGACCAGTAAGAGCCTCATGCCTTTACATTTGGGGCAGGAAAGACTGAGTCACACGGCTGAGCAGGCACCCACGAATCGTGATGTGGATCACAGATATTACTACCTTTTCTTTCTCCCCCAAACCTCACCCATCTTCCAAATTTCCCTATTATTATTATTATCAAGAGCACCACCGCCCGTCCAGTCAGCTAGGTTTTCAAAATGTCTGCCATCTTGTTTGCAGTCTCGCTCACCCCACACATCCAATCAATTACCAAATCATGTTGGTTCTATCTCCACATCAGATGCAGCTGTCCTCTCTATGCTTCTAACCACCACCTTTGACCTCTTAATGGGCTTCTCTCCTCTCACCAATCTCTGCTCCATGCAGCTGCCAAAGTGATTTTTTTAAAGCACAGATTTGATCACATCACTCTTGCTGTTTAGTCATTTTTCAGTCATGTCCAACTTTTTGTGACCCCTTTTGGAGTTTTCTTGACAAAGATACTGGAGTGGTTTGCCATTTCCTTCTTCAGCTCATTTTACAGATGAGGAAGCTGAGGCAAACAGGGTTAAGTGACTTGCCCAGGGTCACACAGCCAATAAGTGTCTGAGGCCAGATTTGAACTCAGTTCTTCCTGACTTCAGGCCGAGAACACTATCCACTGCTCCATCTAGCTGCCCCCCCCTTACTCTACTACACAATAAATTCCAATGTCTCCTTATTGACATTGGAATCAAATATTATTTCACCTTTATTTCATTCTTTTTCATTCATATCTTACGGAAGTTTAAAAATGTACATAATTACTAGTATAGTAGGACATGCACATGCTTTATAAATAAGTATAAACAAATGGGTGTGAATGCTCAATTTTTTGTACTACTAATGGGGGATGTGATTTTTTTTAAGTTTGGATGCCATTGTATTAGGAGACTATAAGATATATAGACAAAGAACGATGTTCCAGATTAGACAATACGTCGCTGAATTTCAGAGTTGGAAAGAATCCCAAAGGTCATAACCCCCTTCTAAATTCTGCCACGCAGCCAAACTAGCCTTCTCTCTGGTCCTCACACACAACATGCAATCTCCTATCTGTGTGCTTTTGTACAGAGATATGTCTGAGATGCACTTCCTCATAGAACATTCTCTTCCTTTAAGATGCAGGTCAGGGACTTTCTTCAGCATGAAGCTTCTCCAGGGTCCCCCAGTCATTAGTGTTCTCCCTCCTGGACTATTTTATGTCCAACTACATCATATATTATTTGTATTGGTTAACCGTTTACCCCATACTTTTGTAATGTAGTTATTGTCTCCTCCATTGGAATATAAGCATTGTGACTTTATTCTTTAAATTTGTATCTGCAGTACTAGCACAGTGTCTGGCTTTTTAACAAAAGTTCTTTATTATCATTGTTTAGTTCTTTTTAGCCATTTCTGACTCTTCATGACCCCATTTGGTTGTTTTGGGGTTTGGGGGGGGGAGTTGTTTGTTTTTGGCAAAGATCCTGGAGTGATTTGTCATTTCCTTCTCCAATTCATTTTACAGATGAGGAAAATGAGGCAAACAGGGTTAAGTGATTTGCCCAGGGTCACACAGCTAGAAAGTGTCTAAGGCCAGATTTGAACTCAGGAAGATGAGTCTTCCTGACTCCAGGTCCAATGCTGTATGCACTATGGCGCCCCCTAGCTTCCCCTAATAAAAGTCCTTTATACAATTGATTGATTGGACCTAAACAAGCATCCTTACTAGAATATCTCTAACACGTTGTCATCTGGCCCAGTTGGAGACTTCTAGTCAGAGAAACTTCCTTTTGGACAGATCTGAGAAGACATTTTTCCTTATATTGTGCCCAGATCTGCCTTTCTACACTTCTCTCCATTACTTCTAGGTCTGTCTTTTGGGAAAGGATGAACAGAATTCATCAGTTCCCTCTTCCATATGACAGCCTTTCAAAACCTGAAATAACAATTATGTCACCATCTAAAAATGGAAGTTTGCACATGCACCGAATTACTTGTAGCAGCATTTTGGGTGGGAGTAAAGAAGTGGAAATGAGGTAGACACTTATTGGCTAAACAGACTGAGATACATGGATGCAATGGCATCATATTGGGTACCATAACAAATGATAATTATGAAAAATTCCAAAAAGCAGAGGGAAACTTATATGAACTGATGCAGAGTGAAGTGAATGGCACAGTGGATAGGACACTAAGCTTGGGATCAGGAAGACTCCTCTTCCTGAGTTAAATATGACCTCAGAAACTTACTGTGTGACCTAGAGCAAGCCACTTAACCCTCTTTGCCTCAGTTTCCTTTTCTGTCAAATGAGCTACAAAAGGAAATGGCAAACCACTCCAGTATCTTTGCCAAGAAAACCCCAAATGGGGTCACAAAGAAGTAAACAGAACAAGGTAAGCAATACATACAATAACAACAGTAATGTAAATGGAAGCAACAGCAACAGACTCCAGAATTATAATAACCAAGCTTGTTCCAGAAGAAAAAAAAAAAGAAAATGTACATCCTCCCTTCACTGGAAAGATGGGCAATGTGGCCACAGAGCATTGCACGCACTGTTGGACTCAGTTGAGGTGTTGGCTAGTTTTACTCAACTGTCTTTTTTTTCTCTCTTTTTTATTTTTGTTCATTTATTTTATTATTTACAAAGGATGACTCTCTGGATAGAGATATTACAAAATTAAGGTTATACAAAAACAAAAGATATCAATACTTTTTTGTTTTTAAATATGTTTATTTAATATTTTATTTTCCCCAATTACATGTTTAAAAAAAAGTTTTCAACATTCATTTTTTAAATTTTGAGTTCCAAATTCTCTCCCTTCCTCCCTGAGACAGCAAGCAATTTGATATGGGTTATACATGTCTAGTCATGCAAAACATATTTTTCCATATCGATCATATTGTAAAACAAAACAGACAAAAAAAAAACAAGAAAAAATTTAAAAGTATGCTTCGACCTGCATTCATACTCCATCAGTTCTTTCTCTGGAGCTGGATAACATTTTTCATCATGAGTCCTTCAGAATGGTCTTGAATCACTGTATTGCTGAGAACAATTGAGTCATTCAAAATTAAGATGATCATCGTACAATATTGTTATCACCGTGTACAATGCTCTCCTTGATCTGCTTACTTTGCATCAGTGCATGTAAGTCTTTCAAGGTATTTCTGAGAACATCCTGCTTGTCGTTTCTTAGAGCACAATAGTATTCCATTATATTCATATGCC